AAGTGAAGCCATTATCACCATACTGCTTTTTCCTGGTATCCCTATACATTCTTTTGAATTAGTAGGAAATTGTACGATTTTAATGTGAAAACATTACCTAACAAATCACAGTTTTTATATCTGAGGACTCTTGCACATTCTTACAATGCAAACGTCAATATACGGCTCTCCATGGAGATGATTGCCCGCAAGGTAACATTTAAGCTAGGCTTCACGAAAGAAGGCGAAAGCATACAATTTTCATCCCGAATGGGAAGAAGAATTTCTTTTAAGCTCTAGTGAAAGATATGGGTGTATGTTTGTTGTGCCACCAAAAACAAAAGCGTAAAAGATAAAACTCTGGAGCGGCACCACAACACCAACCTGCTGAAATTCAAAGACAGCTACACACCAAAGAGTGCAATCGTGCTAGGAAAGTTTATGAGCTGAAATCTGAGTTGAAAGCCCAGCAATCACTTTTTACTAAATCTGCTGCTCAAAATAAGGCTGCTACTGAAGCACCATTTCTTCTAAGTCACTTGGCTAAAAACAAAAGTGTTTTATAGATGGTGATTTATTCAAGAGATCAATGGCTATAACTGCAGAGGCCTTTCAAAAGCAAATATGACATAAAAACCACAATCCATGGTGTACCGCTCGGTCCTGCATCAGACACAAGAAGGGTCGAAACACTGTCAGAGGACGTGGATCGACATGTGACTCTGTGAATATTTGTTCGACGAACCACTGGATGTAATGGACACAGCTCAGCTTGTTGTTTTTGCCAGAATGGCTTTCCAGGATTTTACAACAAAGGAGGACTTCCTCACTCTTTTGCACTTAAAGGAAAGAACGAGAGGTGGGGATATTTACAATGAGTTTAAAAAATATGTCAGTGAAAATGATATTCCCATTCATAAACTGATAGCAATTACTATAGATGGAGCACCAGCATTGCATGGTGAGTGCCGACAATGCTGTAATGACCCTGATTTTCCTGACTTCATGAATTATCATTGTGTGATTCATCAGCAGGCCTTGGCTGGGAAAGTCGTGGACTTTCCTCACATAATCTGATAAACTTGATACAAGCAAAAACACTTTAGCATCGCTTATTCAAGGTAATACTGGATGAGCTTGATACCGTGTATGAAGATCTACTACTTCGTGCTGATGATTGAGTTGTGGGAAAGTGCTACAATGCTTTATTGACTTGTTGAGATAAACTGTTTTGTCTGCAAGGAACAAGGAGCACAAGGAACTGCCAGATGATGTGTGGCTGTTGGACCTGGGTTTTCTGTCAGACTTGACCATAAACTGATTACACTCAACGATGAGCTCCAGGGAAAAGACTGACACCTGCCCCACATGATAAGCACAGTGAATGCATTTAAGTCTAAGCTTGGTTTTTTGATCACACATATAAAGGACGGGAGGCTAAAACTTTCCCAACCTGGAAAAAATGTCACAGAGCATTGAAAACAAGGGTGTTTTTCACTCTGAGAATGACTCTGCTCACCTGGACAAAGTGGCAATAGAGTTCAATCTGTGTTTTGGGGAGTTCGACGTCATGGAATGTATTGCTGCATTTGTCTCAAACCCATTAATGGCCAGGTCGTGGCCAAATTCCAGCAAGTATTTGCTTTGTCAAGTGGAGTTGACATGGTGATACAGTTAATTTGAAAAATCACAGAGCTGAAGGGACTTTTGGGGACCTGTCAACAGAGAAAATTTAACTTTCCTCCTGTCTACCTTTGATCCATTTACCTTCAGCAAAATAGCATTTTCACAGATGAAAATAATTAAATCAAATTACAGGAGCCGCCTTACTGACAGACACCTCGCAGACTGCCTCAGACTCTAGCTATGAGCCAAACTACACAGACAGTATTCTGTCATAGCCATCAGACTGACTTAAGTGAGTAACATCACTGCAGCAGTTTTGTCTTCTGATGGCATTGTGAAAAGCGATGCTGCATAGAACTGCACTTAGCTTAACTGAGAATGTTGTTAGGATTTTGTTATTACAATGCATTTATAAAATGCTGATGGTAGTACCTTCAGAGGCTTCAGTGAACAAGCATTTTACTGTTAACAATAGCACTTTTAACAGTTGACAATGGCACTTTGTATGATCTGCTCACTGCAAGTGTTACAGTGTTGTTACATTGTTTCAATAGGTAGATCTTGCCTTTCATCAAGGCTGAGGTCACTGTGGGGGCCACTGATTTAGACTGTGTCAAACACACAACACAGGCTGTTTCATTGTAAATTAGGTGTTAGTTTGATTTTTGCTTGCTTGTAATTTTGCATAAATGTTTTATCTAGAACAGCTTGCAGTACAATCATTTTATGTACAGTCCTCCCTGGAGACAAATGGTGCAAAGTGGCTTTCTCAAGGGCATGGTCATGACAAGTATCTCAGTATCCTATATGTCACTTTTACCTGGGATCAAATCGTAACATTTATTTTGGCAGACTGTAACCTTAACCTTTTATTTCATACATCATTTTGAATTTATGAACCAATTACCCACTGCCTACATCACTAATGGTTTCCCACCTCATATTTTAATCAGTGTAATGCCCAGTCAAAACTCTCCAACTGCATTGCACTATGGGATACCTGACGTGTTCATGTTCCCTAATCCATGTCTGCAGGTTCCAGCAGGAAGATTAATGCAGCGGCCCCTTTGTGCAGCACACACCCCGTGCCGTTGTCTTGGCAGCTGCGTTATCTTGGATGCTGTTTACCCTGAGGGAGCGATGAAGAGGATTATTTTGCTTTTTTCTCACTCCCAATTCCTCTCAACAAAGGGATTTCTTCTGTAATACATCCACCAAGCAGCAGAGGGAGAAGGCCCCTACTGAGTTCCTTTAGCAACACTGCTTTGTGTGCATCAGTCGTGATAGGCCACATAATAATACAGCTAAAATAAACAAATCCATGTGGGAATGTTTGTCAAGTGACGAGCTACATTAGCACAAGAAGCCTGAATTATTTAATCCTTGTCGCATTTATAACATCATATCATCGAAAAACATTTAGGTTGCAAATGTTTTGTTTATATCTCTCACTATTAAAGGCACAATATGTAAGATTTTTTTTATTAAAATATCCAAACACCCTCTAGTAGTGAAAATTACATATTGTGCCTTTAAAGTTCAGTCTCTGATTCTGTCCTTTAGACAGTCATAGAAAATGTTGTCTGGGGTATGTACCAATAAATAGGCCTTGGCATTCATGATGAAAAGTATATTTAATGAAGAGATTTTAAAAAGCAATTACATGTGGCAGCCTACTGAGCTTCGAGTCAGTTAATTGGGGGAGCTTGAGCCTGATCTATAATTTTATAACCAATAAATAGTCAAAGCAATAGATAACTGAAAATGTCAAGTTAAAAATACTAGAAAGCATAACGTTTCTACCCTGTAATCATGGTAATTATGAACTCCCCTCTGTAGTCTTGTGAAAGGAAGTGAAGGAAAACGCAGTGTTTCTGATTCCAAAACGAAGTACTTTTAAGCACCCAGGTCCCTAAGGAAATTACAAAATATTCAGATATCTAAATACTGTCAGCAGTTTTGAGGCACCTACAAATAGTTTAAATGGCTTTTTTGGGTATGTCCATATCCAAAATCTATAGAAGAAGAAAAAAAAGAAGAAGAAAAAGAAACCTGACAAACAGAGATGTAATGTAATGTAATAATATAATATAATATCATATTTTAAAAATACAGTGAATAATTTTGATCAATTAACTAAATTAAATCAACTTCAGACACAGTTTAAAAGGTAGTTTGCAGGTAAGTTGTTCCAAGCATCTTGTTGAAGTTGCAATTTTATGAAGTAATTAAAATTATAGTTAAGTTAGTTGCAAATAAGTTTGCTTTTTTGAGCAGCTAAGGTGCTTTTTGCACATTATATAATAGACTATAGATTCAATATATATAAAAGAAGAGAACACACAAAAGATTTAGAAATAAAAAATATATAATATTTGGTTATTTAGAACATAAAAATCTTTGCGGAGCTGATGATGTTGTTTTGGATAGTCTGCATTATATATAGTCTATACAGATTTCTATTGTAGGCTATAATACATTCAGTAAATGAATCAAATAAGAAAAACATGGTTTGAATTTATCATAGCTTCCTTTGTGTATATGATGTTCCATCTAATCATAAGATTCTAAATAAAATTCACAGAAGCATCATCAGCTTCAAAATCTCTGGAGCTGGTATCAACAACACGAGCAGATTTCAGCGGAAAAGACTCAATGGAATAAGCCGTGCCGAGAGAGAGATGATGTAAATGCTTATGTAATCTGTATCTGCGAGATGCACATCACAGCGCCCCCTGGAGGCCACCGCTGCCTCTCAAAGAAGTCACATTATGGACTGGATGGATAGAGTGTGACCAGAACTAGAGATCCATAATTCAGCCACTGCTCCAACGTATCTCCTTAAGTTTGATAAAGCATTTTTGTCTCTGTATAATTCTTTAGATAATATTATTAATCTTTTTCAGATTTTCTGATACTAGTCACTTAACAATGACAGCCTAAACTACACCTCCACGTTGAAATGAACTCAACCACAGCCAGCAGCTCTGCAGGACGTTCAGATGTATACCGATGTCAAATTGGATGCCAATATAATGTTATGGACGTCTGCGGTCCTCTGTGTTTTAAATATCTGAAAGATTTCAATTTCAGTTGTTGGCATGAAAAATTACTGTACATTTGAATATCAAAAGCGCCTGTAGCTTAGTTTGGTGCAATATAGGTAATACTGAGTTTATGAAAAAATTCTGCAAATAATTAAATCACTATTTCATTGTTTGTGGTTTCTCAAGCACATGGTCCAATCGCTGCAGCTGGAAGGCGGGGTTTACAGTAGGGCCGTTGCACATGGTCCAATCAGGAGAGAGAGGAGTGTGGCTGTCTTGCGCTCAGTCTTTCAGCACCTTGGACAGCAGCTCGCACTCGACTGCGGGAGAGATTCTGGTTGCGGGTCGAGGGTGCTCGCCTCCTCTTCTCCCAAATTACTCAGAAGAAAGAAACAGAGAAGGGGATTTCACAGAAAATCTTTCAGGTCGTGAAATTTCATGTCCTTTCGAGGCAGTTTCTGATCCATTTCCGACGTTGGCACTTTGCTATACGCTGCTTCTCTGCGGCGTGTCTCCTTCTGCGTCTGGGATCCCAAACAACAAGCGTTCAACGTGAGTTTTGCCGTGTACAGCGATTGAATCTCGATAAAATACGGCAAGTAACATTCATTTTTACCAAAGTCAGTTTGTACTTTATTATGTTTCTGACATGCCTCCTGAGAATGTTTACTAGTTGGATGCGATACCGTCCTGCGTAAGTGCCATGAAGTTTCTTGGTTCTTCTCCAGCCTGGTTCAGGCTTTAATGCGCACTGAACCTCAACTCGCCTTTCTCCCCATATCCATAATCTTGTTTTGTGATCATCAGCCTTATTTTGGAAGATGAGGTTCTTCTGCGACTTTTTGTGCACATAAAATTCTGAAAGGAAGAAGAAACGAGGAGTCTGAATTCGTGCTGTGAAGCCGCATCACCTCCTATGCCGTTTTAACCGTCTCGACGGCACGTTTTGAGATTGTTCAAGAGAAACGTTGAAGTATAAACACAAGGATAAAGATGAAGAAGTTCCGAAAGGTTTTGGACGGGTTGACCACTTCTTCACCTGTCAATCCAGGTGGATCTCCCGCGTGCGGCAGTGCGGCTGGGACCCCCAGTACGGCTCCGACACCGCGGGAGCTGGAAATCCAGGAGACACTGATGTCTGAGCACTTCCAAATCTGTAAGGTGGGTGCCCCTTTCTAGCTTGTCGCAAAGGGCTCGTCTGCCATTGCAGCAGAGATGTGCAGCTAGTTTTGGCCAAGAGGCCTGTGCTAATCAATGCAGCTGTTGGGGGAACTGTTGTTGATAGAGCCACAATATAAATGGCAGTGCACCAGCACCAGCAGCAGACACAATACACACAGACACATACTGTAGTGCAAAGACATTGTGAACCACAAATACGGTCCCCTTCAAATCGTTAAGAGATAGTTAACCAAAGAATTGTAAATTCTGTCACATTCACCCTCATGTCATTCCAAACAACTCCAAACATAGGAGCTACTTTCTTTCTTCTGCAGAACATAAAAGAAGATATTTTGAAGAATTTTGGTAACCAAGCAGTTTAGTGACCATTGATTTCCATTGTATGGACGAAAACACTGAGACGTTTCTTAAAATATAATTTCATGTTCCACAGAAGAAAGAAAGACATACAGTTTTGGAATTATATGAGGGTGAGTAAATGGTGACAGAATTTTCTTTTTTTGTGTCAACTATCCTTTAAAGTTCCCAGAAGTTAACAGTTGTGAGATAGATAGATAGATAGATAGATAGATAGATAGAGCAAACTATCAGTGGTGAGATACTGGATGCTCTCAGTCCCCAAAAAAAGAGCCAGAACATTTGGACTGCATTTACATTTTTACCGTAGTTTTGACTCTCTCTTTTAGGGGCTCAACCACAGACACGTTTCTCAGTCCAGTGTTTAAGTGTCAGTATGACCATATTGAAGTGTTAAATGGACAATTCACACAAAAATGAAAATTCTTCTGTTTCTCAGTCCCATTCCCTAAGCCTTTCATATTAGCATCACCATAATGAAATGTTAAATTGATAGTTCACATAGTTCACAAAATAAAAATTCTGTCATTATGTACTGACCCTCATGTTGATTCAAACCTGTATGTTTTTTCTTCAGTAGAACACAAAAAGGAGTTGTTAGAGACTGACAGCTTCCATACACTTTCACAATCTATCTATCTATCGTTATATCTATCATTCTAACTTTCTATCTAGTTCTACAGTATTTGCTCAATGCATTGGGAGTGAGATGCTCAGGATTAGGCATTCTTGGGACACAATCCTTTCCTCAGTGGAGAAGTCAAGTGATAGGGAATCGATGACATAACCGAGGTGTTTAGCTTATATAAAAAGTGAGAGTCAGCCGTAGTCTCCGGGCTTGTGTGCTTTTTCCTGAAGCTATTTTTAGAGATTTTTAGGGCCTATTGCAGCCGGTCGGGGTAGTGGAAGCTGACTGCAGCGCTTCTACCTCCACTTGAATCGGTTCGGTTCGAGCTTGAAATTAGATCGATCGAGGACGGACGTGTGTTGTTCTCCAGCATAGCAAATTAGACAGCGGAAAAGCGGTAAGAAAGAACGAACAAGAGCCGTGCCGTTTGAATGGAAGTGCAGGAATGTATGACGTGCAGATAATGAAGTTGTTTGTGAATATTCCCAGAACGCCACATTCATTCACTGGCGACCGGCACACGCCTCGTTCTCACCATGTATAGTGATGGGACCGCGGTGTTGTTGTGCACTCCGCCGGGGAATATACGGTGAGAGAATCGCGCTGATATATACACCCAACAGCCCCGAGTGACGTTTGGTTTTCATTGATGCCTTTCGCGACTTGCAAAGCTTTGCAGCATGTGTAGACGCTTAACAGATTGGTTATATTAGGAAGGTTGTATTAGAATTCATCGCCAGTTAAACAAATGAGGTAAAACATCACATATTGTCAGGAGGATGTATTTATATCTGAGGTAGTACAGGTGTCTGCTATACAGTGCCGTTTTTAATTTAAAGGAATAGTTCACCCAAAAAATGAGCTCATCCTAAAGTGGTCAAAAATGTAGGCTAGATTAGTTTGTTCCTTCATCTGAACAGATTTGGAGAAATTTTGCATTACATCACCAATAGATCATCTGCAGTGAATGGGGGCTGTCAGAATGCTGTCCAAACAATAATAAAAACATCACAATAATCCACACTCCAGTCCATTAATTAACAACAATTAAAATCTGTGAGTTTTTATAAAAGTAATTTTTCATTAAGAAGTTTTTCACTTCAAACCATTGCTTCTGGCTAAAATGTGATTATATCGTCTAATTCAGGAGAGAAATATGCACAGTTGAAGCACCATTTATAAGCAAAAACTTTTCTAAACAAATATGTTAATACATTTTCATGTGAGAGGACAACAGGGGATTGACTTTTTCACTGGAGGAAGCATTATTATGGATCATGGACTCATATTTTGGCTAGCAACAGTTTAAAGTTAAAATGCTTTAATGATGGATTTTTGTTTCTTACAAACACCGATTTTCACTTCACAAGACTTTAGTTGATGGACTGGATCATGTGGATTAGTACTTGTGGATTATTGATGTTTTTATCAGCAGTTTGGACCGCATTCTGATTGCACCCACTCACTCCATTGAGCAAGTGCCAAATGCAAAATTTCTCTAAATCTGTTCCAATGAAGAAACAAACTCGTTCGCACTACATTTTTAGCTATTAAAAGGTCTATATAAAATATAGACTAAATAGTCTAAATAGTTTATAACTATTCCTGTAAGACATTGATATTTTTCAATTAAATATAGTTAGTCAAAGCTCAGTGGCAGCTTGATAGTTAGGCTACACTGTATAAACAATTCTGTTGTTTTTACAAAATAATTTTGGCAGCTGTGGTTGCCAGAATAATTTTGTAAAAAATACAGAAAAATCTAAGTTCATCACAAGTAGCTTTTCCATAAACTTAAGTATATACAAATATAAAGAAGGTGCACAGAGTCATTCAAGCAAACACAAAACACCATCATGGTAACACACAACACTTAAATAATGCAATAAACATTCATTAAACAACAGAAGATGTAACAAAACCCTATAACTGATAACAAAAACTATTAAAGAACGTGATCATTTAAACAAAATACTTTCAAATGTGAAGTGTAATGAAGGGAATTCTGGGAATATCAGTTTACAGTTTTTGACTATAAATGACGTTGATTTGTTACTTCGAAAAACTGAACAATTAACAGTATTTTACTGTAAAATTACATGAAATGTCTGGTTAGATCTTTTACAGTTTTATCATGTATATACAGGAACTTACTGTTAACTTATTAACAGTTTTTTTCTGTAGTATTTTTGCAATATTTTATAGTTACACTCATTTTTTTTTACAGTGAAAACAATGTTGTGATTTTGAGTGTTTTGCTGCTGTATGAATGTTGAGAGGTAGGTCAGATATTCAGAACACAGAGACAAACAGTTTGAAGCATAAAAATGAAATGAGGCTCCAAATGTGATTCCTCATGAAACAATTCCTTTAAATTTCCATTCTTTCCCTTTAAAAAACATTCATTTTATGAGGAACTGAATTCAGACTTGTTTGCTCACTAAGGTGGGTTAACACATGCTAGATTGAAAGGAACCCTGTGGCTCATGAATATGAGATTGTAATGCTATATTTATACTTGTCTGAAGAGGGATTGTCTGAGAACCACACTAAGAATCGAACAATGTCTGAGATGTCTCTTTTTGTATAGTACACACACTGAACAAAAGTAAAATTCTAATTTTCATTATATGACCCCTTCAATGAAAATGAAACCTGATATATACAAGCAAACCGTAAGCAATGGTGAATTGTATGAGTTATTATTCTAGAGATAGTATAAGTATAAAGAATCCACCTCATGGTCTGTCGAGGGATGCGTTCTTTGGGATGTTGACAGAGACGGTGCTCTGGAGACGCACATCTGAAATAGACTGCCGAACACCCTCTCATGTGCTCAAGAACACTCTGTGACACCCATTTCTGGGTATGATCACTCAACTGAATCATGAGCTTTGACAACAGCTCCCGTCATGGGCTGCCATGTTTCATGTGTGGTAGATTTAGATCTCTCTCTCCCTCTCACTTCTGTATATTCCCGGATGGATCTGGCATGCAGACAGAAATAATAGGGTCAAAGGCATAGAGCAAAAATAGAAAAAAAAACATTTAAACGTGTATGTAACATCATAATGGAAGATGTAAACAGCAGGGTGCTAGTTTTTTAAAGCCGATCAGGAAGTCTTTGCTCTTGCAAATGACAAAAAACAAGGTAGATAGTGTGGTATGATTCTGTTAGTGCTCTGTCAACAATGTTGGCTTCCTCTCCAGTGCTCTGAGACCGCAGTGGCAGCACAGCCTGTGCTCTAGAGCAGCCCGCTCTGTCTGCATGTATCCTCATCTCTCAACAGGAAAGCTGTGCTCACTCGACCAAAGGGAAACAAGTATGAATTGTATTGCACAGTGTCTATTGCTGATAGATTTTTCATCATCAACACTGTTTGTAGATTCAACAGAGTAGTAGGGCCAGATAGAAATGATGAGATTGATAGTAGCAAAGAGCTAAAAATAAGGTATAGCCATTCTGAGATCATGTATATACAGGAACTTACTGTTAACTTATTAACAGTTTTTTTCTGTAGTATTTTTGCAATATTTTATAGTTACACTCATTTTTTTTTACAGTGAAAACAATGTTGTGATTTTGAGTGTTTTGCTGCTGTATGAATGTTGAGAGGTAGGTCAGATATTCAGAACACAGAGACAAACAGTTTGAAGCATAAAAATGAAATGAGGCTCCAAATGTGATTCCTCATGAAACAATTCCTTTAAATTTCCATTCTTTCCCTTTAAAAAACATTCATTTTATGAGGAACTGAATTCAGACTTGTTTGCTCACTAAGGTGGGTTAACACATGCTAGATTGAAAGGAACCCTGTGGCTCATGAATATGAGATTGTAATGCTATATTTATACTTGTCTGAAGAGGGATTGTCTGAGAACCACACTAAGAATCGAACAATGTCTGAGATGTCTCTTTTTGTATAGTACACACACTGAACAAAAGTAAAATTCTAATTTTCATTATATGACCCCTTCAATGAAAATGAAACCT